CTAACATAAGAATTAATATGATAAATATGAACATGTGCAGTTACTATTTGTCACACATATACATTTCATTAACTTGTGCAACATACATACACAGGACTTGTAATTTATTTACAGGGTGGGGGACTTGATTTTGTCACTATCCACCATTTCATGTAACATTCTTTTATGGCCCCTCCGAAATGCATGCAACATTTTTCATGACCCAAGTCAATGATAAACTACCAATCGAGAGTCTTTCTCATCCGATTTCACTCATTTTTTGATGAACCCCTCATCATTAATCGCCTTTACTCTCATTCAAAATAGCCAACCCAAATTGAATAGTTGCTTAACTTTTGACTTTCAGTATATCCTAATCACAGTCATATCTGCTTGTATGTATATCACAAAATAACATTCGAAACAACATCACAATGGAGACACATCATACACTCAGCATCATCTTCACATATATCTTCACCTGACTTCGTCCTTAAGTTTGATTATTCAGATCAAACTGGCAATACGTAATGCTGGAATGATACTATAAGAAGAGAGATGTCAAGTATCACATACTAATTTCACAGTACAACAGGCATCGTCATGAGGCAAGGGAGATAACTGACTATAAAAGTTGTGTTTCAGCGTTTGCTGAACTAGGCTGAAAGCATGGAGTTGTCTATGTCTATGTATAGTCCAATCAAAATCTCCTAACAGCTGGTTCATAAACAATCTTGCATCTGTAATGATTTCGGTCAATTGCTGGATTTTTAGAGCTCGTGTACCATCAGCTATAGTCTGTTTGGCTCAAAAGCAGACTGATGAATTGGACGAGAGGAACAGCCAGGTGTACACAAAGTATGTGCACAAGTGCCTATTCATTTACCTGTGCTGTGCCGTCTCTATCCTATCCTGCACACCTGGCTGTTCTTCTCTTTGCACTCCTCCCTTGTAACAAATAGTGCACTGTGCAAACATTTTAATGATAGTTTGTTAAACAACTTTTTTATTTTTAGGACATAAATTCTGCAAAAACATCACAGAGTTGGTCTGATGTTTTAATTATAATCAGTTTCATTTAGTATTATATGTTTATTAGTTTTTGAGTTAGATTGCAATTCATCGGTCCGCTTTTGAGCCAAATGGACTATATATGTCAACATAATTTTATCAACTCTTTTCATGTTTTATATCTGGGCACTCAAATGATATGATGCTTTTTGTGACGTAAGACCTGTATTATGCCGATAAAATGTTGATTATCAATCCGATTGTTTTGACTGTGCACATCCATGTTATTTCAAGCAAGTGCAAGTGATATCAAACGTTAAATCCGATTGGTCAATTGGAAAATCATATAAGGGACATACCTCATAACAGCCACTGGTGTCACTACGATAGAACTACAAAATTCAGAGTTATTTCAGCATGGGTGGAGACTGGATTTTTATAGTCAGTTATCTCCCTTGCCTCAGGAAGATGCACAAAAGGTATCTTGATACATGATTTCAACTACAGAACAAAGGTTGTATGGTGATTTCATGTTTTATTGTTTTAAACTGTTGTTATCTTTCAACAACAGCACATAAACATATTAAACAAAGAGCCAATAGGACTGTTTGGATCAAGTACAGTCTGTTATATGCAGCTCTTTATTACAATTAGTGAGTGAGTGAGTTTGATTTTACGCCGCTTTTAGCAATATTCCAGCAATATCACGGCGGGGGACACCAGAAATGGGCTTCACACATTTTACCCATGTGGGGAATCGAACCCGGCCTTTGGTGTAACGAGCGAACGCTTACCCACTAGGCTACCCCACCCCACCGCCCCTTATTACAATTAGAACAGTGGCACAACATGTATCATATCATTGTGTTTTAACATCACAGTACACATGATTTCCAATAACTCGTAGTACTATACTACCATGTTATAATGATACATAGCCTGGACCGATACAGCATCGTTTCAGAAGTTACGTCACCATCTTCATCAAGTTCTGTAATGACGTTGACAGACCAAGGACAATCAAACTAACCTGAGACTCGAATTCATCAAGGGACATAACTCTACTAGCAATCAGTACCACAATAGTCTAATGGCCACATTTTACAAAGGTATGTATTAAGTTATTACTGTAATGACCTATGGACATTCGTGACAAGGCTTGAATCCTTTCAAATGTTACAAATGTCTTGCTTCCTGACACACCTGGTACAATAACAGTGTCACATGATGTACAAATACTGCCATTTCTTTCTCCGAATACAACTCGGATTCTGTTACATGACATCACACTTCCCTTCAGCTAAACTAAGCTCTGCATGGTGAGGGATACTTCATACCCAACAGCTGGGCAAGAAGTATTAAAAACAATATTCTGTTCCAGATCACATTGGAAAAACTATTTTGACCTCACACATGACAAAATAACTTATTACAGTGCCATTTTAGAAGTTGCGACATACAATATTGAACAAACTTTATGAATAATGACTTTTATTTCGTGAGTGCGAAGGTTTGATACAGATTGATACCATTGTAGCTTGCTGTTATCAATAAAGTTGAATAAATTCCATAAACTAAATCATTGGCTAGAAATGCTGGATGTTCTGAACAAAACTGTGTTTTGGGTCCCAAACAAATTGTTTGACACTGTTCAGATGAAATATTTTCTTATTAAGAAGCACTAACTGAAAATATATGTCTCCAAAAAACATTCACCACCACCATGACAGGAAAGTGTACAGTCAATCAGTTAGTGGCAAGAAACATGGAAAACAAGAAACAGATACTTGAGATTCGCTCATGTAAAGTAAGTAGAATTCAAGTAAAACAACTAAATTTAAGCATAGTAGATCAATAACCTAACAAAGTTTGCGTTTGGGTATATTTCATGTAAAATTGAAATAGAGGGTCCGACAACCAATAATTCTTCGAAGATCAAATAAATAACAAAAAATGATTTTACATACAATGTAGTTGTGAGGTAACTATCCCCAATGGACGGCACAAACTATTAGAATCAATACAGTGAAAAATATATAGACATACATGTAAAACATAAAATGTGGTTGCTTATGCTTGTGGTTGTAATCATTAAAAACAACATGATTAGATGATTACTACAGAATTACAAAAAGAGGTTAATCGAATAATAATGCGTGCAAATTATGACATCTTGAATGGATTTGTGAATTGTTTCTTGTCCCAAAAGAACATCATTCTTTCTCTAGAAGAATGTAATGTTCACAATGGACAATGGTAATCAAGTCTGACAACTCTTGTAAGCTTGTTTACAATAGTCTTAGTGCTACAACGTTTGTATGTAAACGTTTAAGTAAGGAAGTTTCGACATTCACTGTTTATACAGACATCCCTTGCAAAAACACCCTTGCGATACCACAGATTTGGTTAAACCACAGGGTATCAATGGCTCCCAAACCTCCATGTCATTACATGTATGTAATGAGAGCACAGTGATGACTTTATAACATGTCCTATTGACTATGCATTAGTTGAAACAACACAACGCATGTTCTCATATCTAATTCAGATTGTCAACTGATCTTTAACGGTTGGACAAAAAATTTACTTTTAACTTTATATATACTGCACCACTATCTGTTTGGATAAATTAATGAGATCAGCTCTGCGAACTTTCAAAACGTACTCGAACATCAAGCATGCTGTGTGTAGCCTGACAATTCTTCTTTACAAAAATGGCTAAACCGAGACGGGTACAATATTGATAAGACCTATTCAGCACCAACAGAAATTCCCTGAATCATCCGTTTAACTCTACAGCAAGATCTTCCAGTCATCTTTGGTATATTTGAAATATTTGACGACTTTATCATGAACGATCCACACACAATGCTATATGGCTCACATTCTCCTATAATTCTGGTGTAAACCTTACATGAAAAAAATAAATATATAACTTCAACTATTAGTACCCCAAATTCATATTATTCTTTGCGATTCATTTTTAAATTCTTTAAATATTATTTCTCTTGTGTCTTGGCAAGAAAACCCATACTGCTATAAAAGTGGTCTTGAAGTAATTGTCAAATTGTACAAATTCTAAAAGCTATTATCCTGTCTACTGTATCCAGGCTAATAGTAAACTGTAAACCCTTGTTTGTAGTTAGTAGACAGCAGACCGTAGACAATATAGACACTGTAGACTGTTGACTTCAGACTATAGACAAGTGTATCGTGGGAAATTCATTCATGATGCAAGGAAACATTTCAATTGTGCACTAACATTAGTAGTACATACAACAATACAATCAAGTCCTGCCAAACTCGCTACCGATACAACAATACAATCAAGTCCTGCCAACCTCGCTACCGTTACAACAATACAATCAAGTCCTGCCAAACTCGCTACCGATACAACAATACAATCAAGTCCTGCCAAACTCAAGCTACCGATACAATACAATCAAGTCCTGCCAAACTCGCTACCGATACAACAATACAATCAAGTCCTGCCAAACTCGCTACCGATACAACAATATGATTATCATGATTATCATGATGCTCCCTTCTTTGCCGTAATAATCACAGTCAAGAAACAGTACGCAAACATACAAGTCACATTTTCGTCCCAAAACTGCACCACTATGCACCAATATAACATCAAAGACTATATGGCACTATCTAAGACCTAAGTACATGTATGATAAAGGCACAAAATTTAATCCTTTCAATAAAGCTTCAGTGAAGTATTCGCTGTAATAAGTGCTCCTGGTTATGTACTGATAGAGACCCTTTTTACAACTATAGTGAGTGAGTGAGTATGGTTTTACACCGCTTTTAGCAATATTCCAGCAATATCATGGCGGGGGACACCAGAAATTGGCTTCACACATTATACCAATGTTGGGAATCAAACCGGGTCTTTAGCGCAAGAGCGAACGCTTTAACCACTAGGCTACCCCACCGTCTCTTTTATAACTATGGGGCAGCCTGGAGGTTAAAGTGTCTGCTGGTCACGCTGAAGACCCGGGTTTGATTCACACATGAGTACAATATGTCAAGCCCATTTCCGGTGTCCCACGCCGTGATATTGCTGGAATATTGCTAAAAATGCGGCGTAAAACCCAACTCACTCACTCACTCACTTTTATAACTGTACTGAAAATCAAATTGGTTGTCAGAAATCAAGCAGTACAGAAGAAATAGTTCAAATGTCGATGAAACTAAATCTCTTTAGATAATAGTTACCAAGGAGTTATATGTCTCTTATACTCTGCAGGGATATAAATGAAAGCTGTGCAAATATGTTTGATACAGGATATTTTTTACATAGTTTTTATAAAGATTTCTTACAGGTTCCTCTTGATGTAGATCATGGCACTTTTTGCATGAGGGCATTTATTATGGAAAACACGGGATTAGTCCTGTATCTCACAGTGCAGTGTGCCGTAGTGTGGCATGAGGGTGTCTCTGCTGGGGAAATGTGGTCCATCATATATCTCATAGTCAGCAGGGTTAGTTTGTGGTATCTCATGCTTTGAGAGATACTGTGTATACGCCAGTATTTCAGTGTTAATGTGTCGTATCTCACCTCATGAGAGATATATATATTCTTGTGTCTCAGTGTTAATATGTGGTATCTCACGTCATGAGAGATATATATACTCTTGTATCTCAGTGTTAATATGTGGTATCTCACGTCATGAGAGATATATATACTCTTGTATCTCAGTGTTAATATGTGGTATCTCACGTCATGAGATATATATATACTCTTGTATCTCAGTGTTAATGTGTGGTATCTCACCTCATGAGAGATATGTATGTTCTTGTATCTCAGTGTTAATGTGTGGTATCTCACGTCATGAGAGATATATATACTCTTGTATCTCAGTGTTAATGTGTGGTATCTCACGTCATGAGAGATATATATACTCTTGTATCTCAGTGTTAATGTGTGGTATCTCACCTCATGAGTGATACAGTGTGTATACCCCTGCATCTCAGTGTTGATATGTCATATCTCAGCCCATGAGAGATATAAGGCATATATTCTCACTAATCTGGAGTGTTATACGTGGTATATCTTGTTAAATTCATCTTCCTCTTGACTGATATGCTCACAGAAAATATACATCACAAATATCACATAATAGTACAGATTGGCCTCGTATGACACAAGGCCACTGATATAAGCTTCAAATCACAGTCAGTCTATCACCAAACACACACATACTCCACAATGACAAGGTAGAAGACATTTTGTCAGCACGTCGACCAGGTTAGCAGTTGTGCCCTTGACCTGGTCACATGACCATATATCACATATATCACATCAGAAGAAATAGTTACATGTCAAACACAACAAGAAAGCACTATGTGATATACCAACAGGCTGAGTATGATAACTTATATGAATCTTTAAGAATGCAATAACCATCACTCTTGCAGGAGGGTGTAGACGGGTGCAGGAAATGCATTAAGATGCAGTCGATGTTTTTCAGTCACCCCATGAAAAGAAATTCATTCCCAGTATTGAAAAGCATACATGCTTCTCCCATTTCCAAAATTCTTAATCAGCATTTACCTAGTGGATAAAATCCTCATCCAAAATCTACACAAATGACAACAAACTTGTCACAAGAAAACCTATCAGTACTGGTAAATATTGAAAGGTAAATCATGACTGCAGCATCGTACAAGGCAGTCCCAAGGGACAAAAGTGATAATTGTTAACAATGTGACCAGGCAATACTAATAGATAAAGATGATCATTGTTAAAAATGTGACCAGGCAATACTAATAGATAAAGATGATAATTGCTAACAATGTGAACAGCAATAGTAAGGGATAGTGGCAATCACTGTTACAATATGACCAGCCAATATTAAGGGACTAAGGTGATCATTGCTCAGAACGTGACAGCCAATACTGAATGACAAAGGTGATCATTGCTTACACAGAATCATTGCAGTTTATAGGGACAGAGTTGGTCATCATGTTGCTAAGAACAATAAGGCAATACTATGTGATAACATCATTTTGAAACTAACAATAACTGTGGCTATCATGCTGACAAATTCTCAACAGATGACCAGGCAATCCTAAGGGATACAGTTGACCTTCACATTGACAAGGTGATTCCATAGCGAACCAGGCAATACTAAGGGATAAAGTTGACCTTCACATTGACAAGGTGGTTCATAGAGAACCAGGCAATACTAAGGGATAACATTGACCTTCATTTTGACAAGGTGACTCACATTCACAAATGACCAGGCACTACTAAGGGATAACCACTAATGGTTGACCACCTTGTTCCTAGCAACCCCCTGTCATTTGATGGCAGCTGGGTAGGTCAGTATATCTTGACTAGGTCAGACATCACTAGAACTGTGACCTTCTGGAGAGTTGTCCTTTCTTCAGTTCCATCAGTTGAATGCCCATGTTGAAGGAGCCCGCCAGGACACTGCAAGCAGGTGCTCAACAGTCAGTCATGCTTTTTCACATTGAATATACTCACAGTGTAATTCAATGACAGTAAACACGACCTTTGTCAACATCAAACATTTCGAATTGGGCTCTGATGAGTCACTTTATGACCTGTGTTCCTGACCTACAACTTTAATCAGGGGTGAAAATAACTCATTGCCCGACGCCCCAGTCCAGTGTTTTTTTCTGTCGGGCAAGCAAATTTGTATGTCACGCTGTACCGGTGTCCAGTTGACTTTCCAATGTTAATTATGTTGTTTATTTAAAAAATCAACAAGGAAATCGCCCAGTATAGTGGAAAAATTATCAGGGCAAGTGATTTTACATGTGCCACTGTACCAGAGTACATTAGCAATTTTAAAGTTATTTCCACCCCTGTTTAATTGTTTATTACTATTTAGCAATGACAAGAACCCATTTTTCATGTTTAACTTTAATACTGTAATATATTGTACTGTAATAAGCCTACACTCACTTGGGTGAGGTAAAGAGAAATGGGGTTTAATGTCGTACTTGAGAATATTTCGCTCATATGCCGACATGCATGCATGTGTATGTGTATGTGCGGCTGCTTGTACTAGCCCAGACTGAAGCTGGTTTTATAGTGCTAGCCCACTGAGATACCATGCCGCAGTTAAGCATGAACACCCCACTCAGACACATTATATTGTCTACGAGCTGACCAGTCCTTGTTGTACCCATTAATGCCAAGAGCCAGGCAGGGACCAACAAGTACCATATTTTAACGTCTTTTGGTATGATGCACCGGGGATCAAACCAGCGACCTTCCGCTCTCCGGACGCTCTAACCACTACACCACGGATGCGGTTACACTCACTTGGATAGATATATGTTATACACATACTGACATCAGGGTACACTATAGTACATTGAATGTAATGACGACCAAGCTCCTTTGTCAGGAAACCATTTACTCCCTAAGACTAGACACTTTATTAATACCATGTGCCTTCATTAATGTTCAATATTGCCAAATTTTGTTTCAAAAATGAGTCTATAATATTCACACTTCTTACTATTATCAGCATACATAACAATTTCTTCCAAATTAATTTATTACTCAATAAATTCAATAACTTTGCTTGTGTTTTCAATAATTCATTTTATTATATTGTAAATGCTTGTTTCTTTTGAGTCCAAGTTACAGGTAAGGTCTGGGTGTGGCCTGGTCCAAGTAAAGAGAAATAAAAAGACAAACTTGTCCCTGTCTTCATGGTTAAGGTGCTGTTGTCATTAACATACATATCAATACACATTAGGCCAGACCACTTTTATTTCTTGTTTTATGGATTTTTGTACTCAAAAAACCTAAAGGCAGGCAAAAAAAAAAAATGAAAAAAAAAATAAATAAATGCTAAAAGTATTTTACTTTTTGGTAATTTATAAAATGTAAATTTCTTGTAAAACACAGTTTTGACCAATAAACCCACCACCACCACCCCACCCATTTGACCAATAAAACCCCAAAACATTAGATTTTATTTTTAGAGCGGGTAAAATTAACTTTTATATTTTTTCTTATTCTTGAAAAAATACGACAGGCAGATCTGTAAAACAAGAAATAAAATTGGTCTGGCCTCATAAAAATTTGAAATTGCAGGCCAAGAATGTATCATTTATGGTTGTAAATCAAATTTACTCACAGGCTAAATAATCAAGGATAGTCCCCCTTTAGTGAAAATATTTCAGTAACTGACAGCCAATGACATATATTCTTTGTCTGATGGGAGATAACTCACCTGCCATCCTCGTATGCCAGAAGAGAGGTGATTGGTCCAGCACCGCTGATTGACAAATCTGACACCAGGGCTGGAAACAGATTTAATTAGCATTAGAATTTCATCTCTAAGAATGATAAGATATATATGAAGCATTTTTAGAATTGCATGGTTTATCCAGTACTTGATGCTCAGAATATTTAACATTTCTATCCTCTTGTTCTGCTTGTTTGTTTGTTTATTTGATTGTTTTTCTGTTTGATAAGGACGGCCTCCTTTCACGAAGCAACCTTGACTAAGGTTAACCTTAACTCCCATTCTTTAACACTGACTATGTTACCTTTATGGATGAACAACCTTAGTGCTTTGTGAAAGGAGGCCCTGGTTGATAAGGATAGACTTTATGGATGAACAACTTCTTTATTCAGGTGATATGACGTTTCGATACAGAGTTTTGTATCATTGCAGGTTTTGTATCCAGCAGGTATGAACTCATGCACAACGATACAAGAATCTGTAGCGAAACATCTCATCACCTGAACAAGGACGTTGTTCATCCATAAAGTTTGTCCTTATCTGACTCTCCAACTCCTAAAAATGCCACTCAAACAAGTTACGTTTGTCTGTTTGTTTGTTTGCTGTTTAATGCCACACTCAGCAATATTCCAGCTAATTGTGACCCGTGAATATCCGGGATGGAATAGGTCTTCAGCAACCCATGCTTGCCACAAAAGGCGACTATGCTTGTTGTAAGAGGCAACTAATGGGATTGGGTGGTCAGGCTTGCTGACTTGGTTGACACATGTCATCGGTTCCCAATTGCGCAGATCGATGCTCATGCTGTTAATCACTGGATTGTCTGGTCCAGACTGGATTATTTACAGACAGCCGCAATATAGCTGGAATATTGCTGAGTGTGACGTAAAACTAAACTCACTCACTCACTCCAGCTAATTGTCGTATGGTATATCAAGCACCACTGTATGTTAGGCACAATGGGCCAGATTGTAGGACACTATGGTACATCAAGTACCTGAGACATTATGGAGAAGCAAGCACTATTGCCTAATCCTTGGGCATTACATTATATCAGTCATCATAGGCCTAACCCTGAGACAAACGGTCTATGATCTAATCCTGGGACACGATGGTATATTAGGCACCATGGGTTTTAATCACACAGTACCACTGTTTATCAGATTTTTATATATTTCCTTACCTTTTGTGTCTCTGTTCCAGACTTTGACTGTGCAGTCTCTCGAGGCTGTGGCAACAAGGGGAAGGTCACTGCTTGGGAGGAATATACATGCCTCAATGGCCTCTATGTGACCTTTGAACTCGTGGATTAATGATCGACTTCTTAGATCCCATAGCTGAAGTATAGAACGTAGAACATGTCTCATCATCGGGAAATATTAAACTCAAACACAAATCTATATAAAAGTAATGCCAAGATAGTTTAATTCAACATGTCTTGAACTTCGTAGCACTATCAAGTTCCTTAATAATGAGCAAATCTCTTCTGAAGTGAGCGCTTATGGGATTACATTATTTAATCTCACACTTATCAAGCTCATAATCACCAATTAAACTACTACAGAGCTGCAGATAACTTTTTGGGTCATTGAGTTATTTACTCGCTTGTGTTCATCTCAATAGGGTATCCTAATTTTCCTTTGAGTAACCAAATAAATTGCACCCACCTCACTCAAAAGTAATTGCGTATTTTGCCATTTTCCATTAATTGTAAAAATTTAATAAAGCTTAAATGTTGGTTTACGTGTTTGTTATATAAATATGATCTGTAATATGAGAAACGACCAGAAAGACTGCAAGTTGCCAAAATTCATGTGCTGAAGTAGAAACTCTCAATATATCTCAGTTATTTTATCTTTTTTGTGTGCACGCATGTAAGATCTAATTTACTGACTATTTACATAAAACCAAGCGTACTTGTATGCAATAGACTTAATAGGAATTGAGTTTTCACATAAATATTTGCGTACCTCTGAACTACTCTCTGAAACCAATGTCACTTGATTTTAACTGTAAGTTGAGTTTTATGAGCAATATCCCAGCAACCTCACAACAGGGAACACCAAACGGCTCTTACACATTGTAGCCATGTAGGGAATCAAACCTAGACCTTTGGCATGACAAGTGAACACTTCCACCACTGGGCTACTTCAAAGCTATAGACCCGTGAAGATCCAAACAAGTCACGTTTGTCTGTTTGTTTGTTCGCTGTTTAATGCCACACTCAGCAATATTCCAGCTAATTGTGACCCGTGAAGATCCGGGGTAGAATAGGTCTTTAGCAACCCATGCTTGCCACAAAAGGTGACTATGCTTGTCGTAAGAGGCGACTAACAGGATCGGGTGGTCAGGCTCGCTGACTTGGTTGACACATGTCATCGGTTCCCACTTGCGCAGATCGATGCTCATGCTGTTGATCACTGGATTGTCTGGTCCAGACTCGATTATTTACAGACAGCCGTCATATAGCTGGAATATTGCTGAGCGCAGAAAGTGAATGAGTGAGTGAGTGAGTTTGGTTTTACGCCGCTTTAAGCAATATTCCAGCAATATCACGTCAGGGAACACCAGAAATGAGTCTCACACCCATGTGAGGTGTCGAACCCGGATCTTTTGCGTGATGAGCCAACGCTTTAACCACTAGACTACCCCACCACCCCTATATACTGGGAACAATGACAGACTGTTGCTCATCTTACCGTAGCTTCACAGCCGTTGCCACCAAAGCCGTTGCTGCAGGTGAGGCAGTAGACGCCATCTGGGCTGATGTCACATGACATCTGGATGTATTGCTTCTTGGTGAAGCTGTGGATGACGCTCAGGTTACGAGTGTCGAACAATCTGGATGGAAAACAATCAGACGATCAAGTTTAAACTTGTAAAGTGTCTGTCATGTTAATGGTAATAAGACTTTAGTGGCAGCAAGTAATTAAACAGTAGTAAGATATATCAAGTGCTGTCATAGCAGTCAACAGCTACTACAAGTGTTACTCCCTGCCTGGCGCTCGGCATTAATGGGTACAACAAGGACTGGTCGGCTCGGAGTCAGTATAATGTGTCTGAGTGGGGTATTCATGCTTCACTGCGGCGTGGTATCTCAGTGGGCTAGCACTATAAAACCAGCTTAAGTCTGGGTTAGTACAAGCAGCCACACATACACATACGCACGCATGCACGTCGTCATATGAGCGAAATATTCTCAAACACAACGTTAAACCCAATTTCACCTCACCTCACAAGTGGAACTAACTAAAATTGCCTTGGACTGGAATTAGAGTTATATGCCCCTGATTGTTTACATGAACCACAGGCCAACTGTAGTGGAAATTGGGTTGCAGAACTGAGGATAAATGAATGTCTTGCTATATGCAAGCGAATCGAGCAAAGGTTGGCAACGTACTTCCCTCGCTTCGGTTCGAAAACTAAACTAAAATATTGCCATCATCAAAGGTAGACACCCATTCCGTTACATGGATGTGCTCTCCGAATTCCAACCTCATATTTGATAATTACACACGTAAAATATATTTCATTTAACACTTTAAGTGCCACCTGTGGTATATCAAATTATTCTTCGCCTCCATTACCCCCTGCCAGCTTCAGGTGCAATGGAAAGACTAGACAAAAGTATCCAAAGAGATATGAAATATAAGGTCAATGATAAAGATCAAATTAGTTACATATAGATGTAATAGTATTGTTTTAAAACTCATAGCAATTTATAATTACACTTCCTAAAAATGTTAGAAGTGCATGTACAATCTCCAAAATAAGCCTGCAAGATAGTCAGAAATGCACTCAATTCGACCCATCAGAGCCGTTATGTACACAAACGCACATGTGTGCATTTGAATCTCTCACCATCCATGGCATTATGCTTATTACAATGACAAAATGCAATAACCAAATTAAGTACTTTGAATTATTTTTACCAAAACACCAAAATCATTACACAGGTTATGACTGGTTTGTCGTATTTTGGTATTTTTTGAGGTTACAGAAAGGGGCAAGTGGTGACGAATGGGCCGGTTTGAGTGTCAGGTGCAGCAAACTCAAGTTGACATCAGTCAACAGAAGAGTCTTGAGCTTTCCATACTGGTTTTGTATTGGAATTAAAGTTATCTGCCCCTGGTTGATTACCTGAACATGGCCGGTTTGCGCATCAGATGCATCAAACGATTGAACTACAAGTGAAATCACACGCTATCGCTACCAGATTTGAACATCAGTCAAAAGAGAAAGGAGCTTTCCATACTGGTTTTCTAATGGAATTAGAGTTATCTGCCCCTAATTGTTTACATGCTCACAGCAGGTTCATTGTTTGAGACCTCTGGAAGGGATAGTTTCCAGGAGACTGGCAAAGTCTTTATGAAAGCATGTGGAAAGGGGAGGGGGACAGCGATACTGTGGGTTTCCTACCTGACTTGCTTGTCCTCCCCCACCTGCACCACGAGACTACTATTGGGGATCCACTTGACGTCTGTCACCTACAACAAAATAACCATAGATTCACATGTTGAGGAATGATTATAAAATCAAGATTGGTGACTGCGCTGAAAAGAAAACAAATTCAGAGCTCCAGATAAGATTTAGCTCATGTGGGTACTGTACCCACTGTATTTTTGGGAGTGGGTATTATGAATGTTGAGTGAGTATTTCATTTTCCGTTACCCACTGCTTTCAAATATGTGCGTATTTCAGTCATTTTACTCACCTAAGTATTATGTCATAGAGTAAGTTTACTAAGCAGGTATGTTCTGCCTCATGTCATACCTAAGCAAAACCAACATAAATATAATGGAAATGATTTCATAAAAAATCACTCATCCTGTACTGACAGTACAACACTAGTCCTTTACTTACAGTACAACTTGATAGCAATCGATGGCTTTTTCATTACGCAAGCGATTTTTATAAATATATTCTGTAAGCAATTGTTTTAAACTTTTTGCATATCTAACATTTTAAATGCGTAATTGGTATGCAACAATTATTTTTCAATGCGTAATTGGAAATTTTCTATGCGTATTTTACCTGGATACGCAGCTTATCTGGGCCTCTGCACATTTGAATATTATTCAGTCAGCCCTAAAAAGTATTATTCTGATGCTATATTCATACAGTTGTTTTACTTAATGGTTTGGGGTTTAGGACTATCATCAGAGTTGAGTGTAAAATAGGGAATGGCTATAGTCACATGACTTTTTCTAGACAACTAATTCCAAGGTAGCTATACAGTCAGCACAGGAAATATTGAAATGATACTTGTACTAACAAGATTCTGTGGTATGCTGTTTTGCATGAGGCACTTCGCCGTCTCCACATTCCACAATCTCACGCTGTTGTCACGGGAACCAGTACACAGCATCGTATTGTCTGCAACAACAACCAACAACAGAATCAGGTTCAGCAACAACAGCATCAGGGCCTAGATTTTCTAAGCTCTCTTAGAGCTAAGATAGTTGTAGTTGCCATACATTAACAGCAACTTGCAACTATCTTAGTGCTAAGAGAGCTTCGAAAATCTAGGCCCAGGATCACACATGCATATTAGATCGGACAATTTTGGGTCTTTTGAAGTTTTAAATGGCACAGGGGAGGTTGGATAGCCTTGTGGTAAAAGCGTTCGCTCATCACACTGAAGGCCCAGGTTCGATTCCCCACATAGGTACAATGTGTGAAGCCCATTTCTGGTGTCACTCGCCTTGATATTGCTGGAATATTGCTAAAAGCGGCGTAAAACCCAACTCATTCACTAACTCAAATGACATGTTAAAGAGGCGTAGTTGGTGCCTGACCTCCTCTATCCAACAAATACTATCTTATTACTACTTGTACGTCAACTATGCAAGTTGAATACCATGTTTCCCAGACTTAAGAGGTTATCAAAAAGTTTTTCAGAAGAGTTACATATGACTTATTCTTTGTTTACAGCTTCAAGTGATTTCAATATTTCTTTTTCAGTTTATAACCAAAGACATCTTAACTCTGAGACTATTTTAAGTTATGTTAAAGTGTGGGAGTTACATTGATCAGAGCTGAGGTAGCTTTGAGCATGTTGGACCTGGTAAACATGACAAGCATGTTATCTTTGTTGAAGATACATATGACAGGGTATGAAACTCAAAAAAATTTCAGCCAGACCACAGGGCTCGTAAGATGTAAAACTTGCCAGCCCTGACAAAAATTTACCTGCTTGCAATTAAATAATTTAGGTTTGACAAGCGACATGGTTTATAATCCAATAGGAATTCATAATATATTTTTACGAGTGAATTAATAATGATTTATTATCCTGAAATATGATGAATATCTTCATATACATAAATAACCCGTCCCGGGCGGTCGGGCAGACAGGTATTTTGAACGCTGCATATGAAAAAGGGTTTAATTTTGGATATTTAGATGTTTAGTATGCTTCAAAAGGGGGTGGGGTGTGTGAGACTGCATTGCATGTTTACCTGGGTTGAGGGTCACTGCTGTCACCACAAGGTCATGACCTTGAAACTCTCGCACGGCGTTCGGGTTGCCCCTCTGCCACATCTTCACCGATTTGTCCCGGGATGCACTGAACATGCCATGACACGCGGAACCATAGCACACCTGGAATACATGGTAACCATGGGAACAGAATACATCGTAAAACATAGCAGAAAACGTTTTCAAAAATAAGAAAGTTTTCTTTACCAGCTTCCAGAAAGTAATATGTAATTTTCTGAATAAAATTGATATTTTATACTTATCCTGACTCATGCTCTTTTGCTTGTCTTCTTCTTCTTGCGAACATAGTGGAACACTTGTATCTCCCTATTGAAGCTCCCTTCAATTGAAACATACGTAAAATCACTAATCACTACTCACCAAAAGTTGCCCCTCTTTGCTCCACTGGCGGGAAAGATGGCGCCACCGTGGCCCACATGCTTCACTCTCTCCTGATAACGAGCCCGCCACTTGAATTTGCAGGGAAATCCAAAGTGTCATGTGGGGAGGATGAGAGGGCTTACCTCATGAGTCAGGATAAGTATAAAATATCAATTTTATTCAGAAAATTACATATTTTTCCTTATCCTGACTCATGCTCTTTTGCTTGTAGAATCCGACGGACTCGGAGGTGGGAAAAGATACTTTGGATTTAATTAGTGACTTTACGTAAGATAACCCCCTTATGGGAACTTCATAATGGCACTGTAAATAAATTAATTTCTGCTGCTATCATACATAAGTTCTACCAGCTGCCATAGATGGGGGGACTACAATAGTAAGATAATATAGAAATAAAGCGACTCCAAAGTGGAGAAGCGACCCAACTGTACAAGCAACAACAAGTACTGGGTTTAAGACTAAACTAGGCTTGAGATATACATGTAGACTAAAGCAAAACTCCATAGAGTTGTAGGCTTGATAACTACTGATATAATATAGTGAGACTACGTCTCATCGTCTACGAGGAACTGTCAACTGCTGTGCGAGGACCAAAGGACCGAAATGGTGAATGCCTGAGACGTCCTTGGTTGCGATATCTCTCAGGTAGTGGTTAGCAAACACCATGTCCGATTTCCAAAAACAGCCCTCTATGATCGTATTCAAGGAGCAATTTCAATGTAGAGCGAGTGTAGAAGCCAGTGCTCTAATTTCGTGAGGGTTAGATACTCTTGGAGGGTCGAGTCCTGCAGCCTTGTAGGCTCGTAGTATGACAGTTCTGATCCATATAGATATCGTAGTGCGAGAGACTTCGGTCTGTGTCGCTGTAGAGAGAGGGATGAATAATCGCTTGAATTTTCGTCGCCTCGTTTTAAACTTTGAGTGCTCTCACTGGGCATAATGATAAGTCAAGCGTATCATGAGGTCCAAGTACGGAGGAAAGTGCAGGGACGTGGAATTGTCTGTCTGGTTGACCTGGCATTTGATTCTTGGCGATAAAGTCCCATCGCAGTCCCATATGCACTGAGTTTTGATTGTTGTCAAACCGTGTTCTCTCGTAATCTAGAGCGTGAATTTCCGACATCCTGGCAGCAGTTGCTAGGGATAGCAGAAACAGTGTTTTCTGTGTCAGGAATTCAAACGATGTTGTTTCCAGTGGTTCGTAAGCCTCACTTGTGAGGTGTTGGAGCACAATATTGAGATCCCATGCTGGAGCGCGAAATCTCTGTTTCTGATCCTCCAATCGGAAAGAGCGTAGCAAGGCCAGTAACTCTGGCGTCTTGGTTAGCTTGGCACCCGTCCTCATAGTTATCACTGAACTTAGTGCTGCGAGGTACGTTGAAAGTGTAGAGCCTTTTAGACGTTTGGTTTGTCTTAGGTGACAAAGATAGTCCGCCACTTGAGGATGTGTAGCATTTCTAGCTGTAAATCCCTTTTTAGCAGTGTATGTCTCAAAACTGTGCCACTTGTCATCATACAAGTTGCGTGTAGAATTGCATAAAGCAAACGTGACTGCTTTCGCCGCTCTGGCTGAGTAACCTCTCTTGTTTAAACACGCTTTAATACAGTCCATACGTGAAGATGGAATGCTCCTGGGTTGTCGTGCACTTGTTTTGTGTGAAGATGTACGAGTAGATTCGAACGCCTTGGTAGTTGTAGCAATGGTTGTCCGATTTCTTGTATTAGATTGGGAAACCACGTTCTCACTGGCCAGTAAGGCGCGACCAAAATCAGTTTGAGGCTCTGAGTTTGTCTGATTTTCTGTAACATCCTTGGTATTAGAGCTGGCGGCGGAAACGCGATAGCGTTGAGGCCTTCCCAGGATATGCTTAGAGCCGCCCGTTGCCCACGCTTGTGGATCTGGGACTGGTGAGACGAATGTTGTTAGCTGATTGTTGAAGCGAGTGGCGAATAGGTCTATTAATGGAGCTCCTATTTCCTTGATAATCTGAGCGAAGATTTCGGGGTGGAGCTTCCATTCCGTCGGTGACGGTAGATTTGGCCGAGAGCGCGTCTGCTAGTACATTCTTGGCTCCGGGAATGTGGCATGCTTTCACATGTATGTTGAGATCGCCGATCAGGTCGAACAGTTGAAAGCATAGAGTCAGTAGGTTCAATGATCTTGTTGAGCCTTGCTTGTTTATATAAAACGCCACTGTTGAGTTGTCGGTGTGGATCATGAGATGCGCATTCTGTAGAATGGTGCTCCAATGAAGTAAGGCGTTGATTACTGCTTTCATTTCGAGCATGTTGATGTGCAGATTGCTCTCTTCTTGGTTCCATAACCCTGCTGCCGTCCGGTTGGCGAGATGAGCTCCCCAACCTTGGAGCGACGCGTCGACATAGAGATGGGTCTTGAACTCCGGCTCTGTTAAATAGATGCCTTCCCAAACATTCGACCTCCGAGTCCACCAAAGTAGATGAGTTCTGAGGTAATTCGGTAGACCAAAGGGTTGAAGGTCGTCGAGATGAGCGTTGACGAGGACCTGTAACGGGCGTAACTGTAGTCTGCCTCTGGCTGTCATGTCTTGTGGTGACGTGAGGAGACCCAACAGACTCTGCCACTGTCGTAGTGGCAACGGAGAGAGTAAGGCTTGAGGGATTGTCTGTTGAATCTTGAGCCATCGGTCCTCTGGTACCACGATACGGTTCTGTGTCGTGAGAAATCTGATGCCTAGAAATTGCAGTTCTTGCGTAGGTTCTAGGTCCGACTTGAATAGATTCACTAACCATCCTAGCTGCGTTAGTAGTTTGATGGTGGAATTCAACTGTAGTTTGAGATGCTCTGGATCTTGATCTACTTGAATCCCGTCGTCGTAGAATGCACTGCGTAGCCCTTGACGATGTAGGTAAGTGACGATGGGTTTCTTTATTCTTGTAAAAAACCAGGGGGCCGATGATATTCCAAACGGTAGGACCTTCCATTGGTAATGTAGCCCGTCTAGTGTAAACCGTAGGTACTTCCTCGAGTCGGGATGTATTGGGATATGCAGGTAGGCATCCTGTAGATCTATACTGGCCATGTAGTCCATCGGACGAACAAGGTGCCGTAGTTGAGGTAGATGTATCATGCGAAACGTTGGCGGTTTGCGTAGATAATCCCTGTTGAACGTGCTCATGTTGTACATGAGTCGGAACTTTTCCTTGGAATATTTCTTGGGCACTAGGAAAACTGGGGAGTAGAAACCTGGTTCGATGTTTACTTGATCCAAGATTTCTATGGCCTGCTTGGGTAGGAGAGATGAAACAGCTTCTCGTAACTTCAGTAGTTGTTGTGCCTGGAAGTCGAACTTGTGAGGGTTGACTGTCAGCGGAGGCGTGGCCCGTAGTTGGATGCGATATCCGTGTTGTAGGATGTTGGAGACATATGGATCTTGTAGTATTCCCAAGTTCTCCCAGTGCAGTTGAAGGCGTCCACCCACTTGTGAAGGTTGTACAGGAACGGCTGGGGGTGGAAGACTCCAGTCGTTCCGAACCCCGTCTTTCATCGTAGATAGTTGCGGGAGCCTCTGGGTGCCCTGCCTCTTCCAGATCCTCCCCTGTAGTTGCCGAATGGTCCTTTCCACCTCTGAAGCTGGCCATCTTTCTGTCCCGTGCTTTCTGTAAACCAGTAAACTTGGATCTTCCGGAATATCTTTGTGATGTCTGTCTGATGACGCTGGCCAGAGTGTCAATAGATTTAATCATGAGGACTTCTCTTGAATCCTTGGTGACTTCTTTAGAGACTTTATCAATTCCTCCAGCGAAGATTGATGGAGTTGACCATGGGGCTGTGTAGAGTGGTGTTGTTAACTGATCACCCCAACTGCAGATGGCGAAGAGACCTTGATGACGAGCCAGAGTAAGAGCTGCGGAGATGGATGAAAGGTGATCCGTCATGAACTGTTGGTCCTTCTTTTGCATAAGGAGGGCCGAGTATACCATTCTGTCGTCTTCTGATGTGGAATCTCGAAACCTAGTGATGAGAGTTTCGTTGATAGTCCTGGATCTGTTGAGGCTGAAAAACATTCTTCTGGTCATAGTCTCGACTTGAGCCAGCTTGCAGTCCTCGATCTTGTACGCCTTGGCCTTGGCATTGTTGATGACTTTAAAGTTATCGTCGATTTCTTGTGCTTTAAGGAAGGGGTCCATATTATGGGCAGAGAACTTCTTGGCGTTGAACTGTGGTAAGTGCGGCGCCTGATCTTTAGTGGCTGTTTGGAAGGCTGTATCCAGGTTCTGTGGAACCGTTGCTATAGGATCAATCGGAGGTAGGGTGATCGTGTCTGCGTCATCCTCCCTCATAAGATAGGTGTGAGCCGAATTATCATCCTTAGAAGGTGAAGCCAAGTCCAAGTTGTTGACCATCCAGTAACGGATTTCCGCGTCGGAGAATATGATGCCTCCATCATCTTCAGTAACAGGATCGCTGATTAGAGGCCGATGGTACTCTTCCGATGGTGACTGAGGTGGAGTCCTGTATAACTGTACAGCTCTGCATGGCGAAGTACGAGGAGACCTGTCCGGAGACCTTCGTAGAGACCTGCGCGGAGACTTGAGAGGCGAGCGACGTGGTGACCTGCGTGATGTCCTGCGTGGAGACCTACGAGGAGATCGACGAGGAGAATGGCGAGGAGATCGACGTGGAAATCGGCCCGACGAGCTGCGTCTGTAAGGCGACCTTTGCGGAGACTTGCGCGGAGGTGAACGACGATAGCTTCGAGAAGCTCCTGGGGAATCCCTCGATGACCTCCAAGACGAAGATGACTTGGAGACTGTAACTGGTGTCCTTCGCGAAGGCCTTCGCGAAGCTTCATCTGAGTCCGCATTTGGGGAGTGACGACTTGTCAGCTTCATCTGAGTCCGGGGATGAGAGGATCCTCCTTCGCGAACGCCTTCGCGAACGTTGATCATCGGAGTCCGAGGCAGGTGACGATCTAGAGGTCCTTCGCGAAGGCCTCCGCAAAGGCCTCCGCGAACGCTGATCGTCTGGGTCCTTCGCAGAGGTAGGCTGTGACGTCCTTCGCGCAGGCTGGTCCCTCAGTGGTGACTTGGTAGCAGCCGCTACGTTGATGGGAGGTCCCTCAGGGGTGAAGTCTACGTTGGGGCCTTCGCGAAGGCTCAGGCCCTGGGCTGGTTGTTTCTTCTCCAGTCCGTAACGGTCTTCCATCATCTTCATTAGTTGTTGCACCAGGTCGCCCGGGACGGTCTGCGAAGATGTAGGCGCTGCCCTATCTGCGTTGGTAGCGACGGGACCCATGGGAAGATCGTCAGTCATCAGCATTGATACATTGGGCTGATTGCGGATCTGCGCTGACGTCACTGTAGCTGAAACCGGTCGTTTCTGGTGATGAACCTCGGGTATGATGAGCGGCTGCTCATCATACAGGCCCTGTTCTGCAGCGGGAACAATCTCGGCCGAGAAAGTTCGTGCGGTCTGCGTTGGTTTCCCCTTGGTGGTAGACGCTGCCCTGGGGGTGCGGAGTCTGCGCTGAGAAGTAGATGCCCTCTTAGTCTTAGGCTGCGGCGACGGCGGGATGTCTGGTGATGCAGGGGCGCTTCTTGAGACGGCGGACTCGCGTGCCGCCTCTCCTCCAAGGGAACCTCCAGCGAACACCAGACGGGAGGGGGTCGTCCGACAGCAGTGGACTTGAGAGGGATTCGGTAGCATTATCCATGCCTGGATGTAGCTTACGTGACCTATCTGCTGCTCGTCTCAAGACGCAAAGTAAATATTTGTTAAAAGCAAAATTAGAAAAATTATTACAATAACTGCAACATGAACTGAAGGAACATGGTACAGTACAGCTAGGGCATATTAAATGCGGATCAGCAGCAGAAAAACGTAACTTGCAAACCGTACAGATTTTCATGAACGTAACCTACTGAACAAACACGGCATATACCGCGAATAAACAGCAGTAAATACGAATAATTATCAAAACATATTGTTGAAGGATGCTAGCTAAACCTCTATAAGGGACTTGTAGAGGTAACTAAGTAAGAAAAATCAAATGATATAGTGCCGTAGGGAGACACAGGCGCTCTCACATCCTGCTCACTGGGTGAAGAAGGAGAGAGTGAAGCATGTGGGGCACAGTGGCACCGTCTTTCCCGCCAGTGGAGCAAAGAGGGGCAACTCTTGGTGAGTAGTGATTAGTGATTTTACGTATGTTTCAATTGAAGGGAGCTTCAACAGGGAGATACAAGTGTTCCACTATGTTCGCAAGAAGAAGAAGACAAGCAAAAGAGCATGAGTCAGGATAAGGAAAAATAAGGTAATATTGTGACACTGATAATATTGTAGATAAATTGTGATAGAATTAATTAACTAATACAATGCACAAAGTTAAGACTTTATGCATGAGCTGCTTCTAAATTATGTTCAGGATGTTGTTCTAGTTAAGCTACATGACAACCATATGAAAATAAGTAAGTGTGGATCGGACAAACCAAGGTTTGATATTAAGGGCATCCTTTCACACTCAGGGTACTAATCCATGCACAAACATGTCACCACTAACCGGTGATGTGAAATATTCATTTCTTTTAGACATTTTCAGCATTTTTGTTCAAAGTTACTTCTCCGATATTTATTGATAATCGATTGATAGTCAGTTAATGATAATCGATCTCTATGATCGAGATCGATAGCCAACCCAAGTCTACACCTGCATCCCATACCTTGGTGACTTCTCTCTCGTGTCCTGTCCAGCGGTCCTCCAGCCGGTTGTTTTGGTAGTCATACAGGACCACGGTCTGGGGAGAACAAACAACACAGTGTCACACAGTTCAACACTGGAGAAGTAGTTTACCAAATTTCCTTTATTCGATGCCGGTCCTCTGGCCTCGGACACTGTTGACATGTTCAGTCCAAAAGACAGAATGGGTCCCTAATAGTGAGTGAGTGAGTTGGGTTATAAGCCGCCTTTAGCAATATTCCAGCAATATCACAGCAGTGGACACCAGAAATGGGCTTCACACTTTGTACCCATGTGGGGAATCAAACCCGGGTCTTTGGCATGATGAGCGAACACTTTAACCACTTGGACACCCCACCGCCCCCGGGTACCTTACAGAGGCTGAGCCCATCATTTCATGAAAAACATGAACTACATGAACATACTGCATGAAATGAGACCTCTCTTTACTGGAGAGCGGAAGGTCGCGGGTTCGATCCCCGACCGCGTCATACCAAAAGACGTTAAAATATGGTACTTGTTGGTCCCTGCCTGGCGCTCGGCATTAATGGGTACAACAAGGACTGGTCGGCTCGGAGTCAGTATAATGTGTCTGAGTGGGGTATTCATGCTTCACTATAAAACCAGCTTAAGTCTGGGCTAGTACAAGCAGCCGCACATACACACACACACGCATGCACATCGTCATATGAGCGAAATATTCTGAAGCATGACGTTAAATCCAATTTCACCTCACCTCACCTCTCTTTACTTAGTAAAGAAAGAAATGCAATTTTGTTAAAGGGTGACAGGCAACCAGACAGACAATTTAGGTGTGCCCATACTTTTTGATGATCCAATTTAATGTAAAACATCAACAACAATTATGTAATTTCAATTTATTGTTTAATAAATCACTAAACATCATGTAAAACCTGTAAACTTGAGTGCTAGATTTCTTAAACAATCAAGACTGCAAGAATAATTCAGCTCTATGTGTCTGGTACCCATAAACTATGTTATCATCCAAAACAGAATTTCCTGTTATGCGCACTGGAGTTCACTATGGCCATGCCCAGAGATTGAGAGTGCCATCATTAAACTGTTTAATGTTATTCAAAAATAGGTTTTGAATCATTTGAGTTGGTCAAATTTATCGCATTATGAATCACACGTGAATCAGTTTTAGTCCTGCCAGTAAAATACTGAAAATATTTCATCCGTACCATTTCAATATTTACCACGCCAAGGCAACACAAATTAAGCACTATTTTGGTCCTTTACATCTATGACCTACAGCATGTCAGGTTTTTCTCCTATATTAGTTTGACGTGCAACGAATATGACTTTTCGAATAAGAGTCACTGTAGAAAGCAGAAATATTCAAATAAATGTCATTTCCTTGAGGACAGTACAACAAGATAGGGATAAACTCATAAAAACTAACATCCAGGGTGCCGTTGTACAAAGCGATCTTAGCGCTAAGGTGACTGTAACTCCTATACCATAACATAGGCTTAAGGTAGCCTTAGTGCTAAGGTTGTTTTGTACAACGGCACCCTGATCGCTAATAATTAACCTTCATATTGCACACATTGTGTTATGCTTACACATTCTCAGGACAAAATTTTGTTAAAAGTACCTGATGGATAAATATTTTACAGCACTATTTTTTTCTGTTCTAAGACATGCAAACTTACATGGTTTTACCAAAACAAAAGTTGCACAATAACCTACACTGTAAAGTCATTGAGATCAGCCTAATAAACACTGCAAATTCAGATAAATGTGAAATGTCCTTTTCTGTATTGTACATGTCTTTTGAACTACAATCCAGGACTTCACATGATTCTATAATAAATGTATTAAAATAGTCAAACCTTATTTTGATCAATTCATACAGAGATTTGTAACATATGTTATATCTGGGATTACACTTTCTTAGTAAGTACAAATTCTAGTACTTTTTGAGTCGAGCCCCATCCGGGATTCAAACTCACACCCTCAGAGTCAGGCACCTAATCGCCAGCACACAAAGTCAGCCGCCTAAGTAGTGGAAGTCGCGGTAGCTGAGCGGGTTAGGCGGCTGACTCTGAGGGTGTACGTTCGAATCCCTGATGGGGCTCAACTCAAAAAGTACTAGAATTTGTACTTAACTAAGAAAGTGTAATCCCAGATATAACATATGTTACATTTGACCACTTTCTAAATGGCATTGTGTAATCATACAGAGATTGTTGAAATTTAATTTACAGAAATCATTACTTAAGACTCACCTTATCCTTGCTGCCTGAGAGACTGAGACCAGTCTGGACCCCAGCAAGACTGACCACTGCCTCCTGATGCACTGGACTAGAAGACATCACTCCTCCTTCTCTCTCAGGGCTGTCCGTCTGCTTGGAGGTTGAGTTGAAACTGGAAGAAGAATTTGACAGGACAACAGGATTTGAGAATTTTTCACTGAGAAACACTGTAATGTTCTAGCTAAGCTACATGACAACCATGTGACAATAAGTAAGTGTGGATTGGACAAACCAAGGGTTGATGTTATGAGCATCCTTCCACGCTCAGGGTACCAAGTCACAAGCAAGTCTTTGAACACAAGATTAAATCTAAATCTAATCCAGATCTCACAAAGACAGTACCAGATTATTCTCAGTTCCAGCTCTTTTCTCCAAGACATACTGAAGTACTAAATCTTATTGGTTAGACTTCAGAAAGCTGCACTGACTGAAACATTGGTCCTTAATGTGACTGCAGCAACAAATACATCCTGTACTGAAATTCGAACTACAGACTTTCTGATGCAATGTCTGTCAGCTTGCCCATGTGACCAAAGTGGTTACGGAGTATGGTTTTACACCTTTTTAGCAATATTCCAACAGCATCACGGTGGGGATACTGACTTGTATGATGGATGTCATCAAATACCATTTGTGAAGGCTGAGGCTTGTTATGTTATCCATGGATTGTCTAGTCTAGACTTGATTATTTACAGACTGCTATAATTGAGCTGGCATGTTGTTGACTGAAGCATAAACAACAAAGAAACTAACATGCTTGAGTGATTCTACTTAACAATAAATCAAGCTCAGGTCTTAGATGTGCAAACGTTGATCAACATTGAATAAGGAGACAGATATATCAACCTTGCAAATCTAAAACTACCTTAACGATTATAAATAAGGGAAAACCCAATATTTAACATTCTGATGTATTATTAACTGCTCAAAAGGATAAAGACAAAATGACAAATCATCTGTTGCATGGGGTTTTTTTTCAAGTTAATTAATGGACCATAAAGGGCAGTACATTGGTATTAAAGTTAAGTACAAATAAGCCAAAATCATTTAACCTTTGAACATGAGGATGTGTACGATTGTAGAATATGTTCGCCACCTTATAATGTAACTATTTTACCATGTTTACCAATAATTCTTTCCTCTAATACTCGGGGTTAGGTTAGGGTTAGGTTAGGTTAGGGGTTGTTAGGGTGAGTTAGGTTAGGGTTGAGTTTGCCCTTCTTTCTTTTTCTTTCTGGGTGGCGAACATATCCTATAGCGGCCCCTAATGATGTACATAGCTGTTAAGGTATACTGCTGACGTCCGAATATTAATTTGATTATTTGCCGAGACATGACCACATTTGAAAACCAAATACCTGTCGTATTTCGGAGACTTCTTCTTACTGAAGAGTTTTCCCATTACGTGAAACACGTGCTTCTTTCAAATGTAGATGACAAATGTCATATTTTTAATTGCGATTTCTTTTTTCACAACTGCAGGCAAATACTGAGGGCACGAATAGACAGATACAATGGAATCGTCTTGGAGAAATGGGGATGCAGAATGAGAGTTGTCCGCCCTTGCATATGCTCATAAACTGGGACCCGTCTAATAATAATATACACGATAAAGAGAGTAATCTTTTTGCGCATAAGGATACGCAAACCTGTCACATTATGAGCTCACGTAATTACTCAAAGCGCTCGTACAATACAAGCCAGCTCTCCGGTGGGAAAAAGTCGAACCTGTTGAAATTCTCATTATGTGAGATGATTGATTATTTACGGGAATGATTGGAATGTTAGTTCACTTTTGTTATATTTTGCTTTGCTTATATCATGTATTTTGGAAGTTAATATTTTTTATTGCTCAAGTGAATCTGAAAAATAAATGAATGTTGTTTTTATGGTCAAAAATCATTCGTAGTATTTCAATAGTTCAATATTTCAATATTTATTGTTTTGTTTGGTCGATTTGTCTTTGGCTAGGTATCTACGTTCTTGCTTGTTTAAATGGAACTGTTTATTTCCATCGCCCAAACAATTAGTTTTGAGTGTTAGAATGAGGATATGTTATCTCCAGTTAGAATTTGACATGACCTGAAGCACACTATAGTGTTGAATAACATTCTATATTTACCTACATTCTCCTGTTACATATGAGATACATACATCTGTTGTATGTGGCTACCACGTGATGTTAATACGTTCAAAGTACGTCGCATTCTTTCTCCTCGCTAATGGGTTCTCGGAAATAATATTATGACAACTGTTATTTCAGTAACGATGTGTACAATCTCTCTCTCTCTACGTAATATTGTCATACCGCCTTACTTGAAGGACCCATGAACATCTGGGTTAGAATTTGTCTTCAGTAACCCATGCTTGACGTAAGAGATGACTAACAGGATCGGGTGGACAGGCTCGCTAACTTGGTTGACACGTCATCGATTTCCAATTGCGTAGAACGATGCTCATGCTGGTGATCACTGGAGTGTCTGAATAAGACTCGATATTTACAGACCGCCGCCATATAGCTGGAATATTGCTGAGTGCAGCGTTAAACAACAAGCCAACAACCAACTCAATTATTAACGGTGAGGTGAGCAAACTGATGAACCTTCTATTCATTTACAAAAGACATGTCGCTTTCAAAGATGACGTATATGTTGGTAAAATCAACCATCTTTAGGATGTTACAATCTATGAAGTACAATACTTACGTCATCCACGAGTACAACGCCATCAACTTTCATTCACAACAGGGGCGGTGGGTAGCCTAATGGTGAAAGCGTCGGCTCGTCACGCTGACAACCCGGGTTCGAATCCCCACATGGGCACAATGTGTGAAGCCCATTTATGGTGTCCCCCGCCGTGATATTGCTGGAATATTGCTAAAAGCGGCGTAAAACCCAACTGACACACACTCATTCACAACACATACTTAATAACAAATCAACTCTCTACATTTGCCGCTTAAATTGCACATTAGTATAATGGTTGGTATAATATACTTACTGAAACAGGCAGAAGCTGGTTTAATTGTTCGTTGACATAATTGATTCCCGCGAATCAATATACCGCACAAGGAATACTGTATTTACTCAAACCCAAAGAAACCCAAACTTCTCGGACATATTCATTTTTTATTATTTTTTTTTAGTAATATTACACATCACTAGAAGATCTTACCAGTACTAACGGTTACGGGGTAGGTGGGATAACCTTGTCACGCCGTTCGCTCGTCACGCCGAAGACCCGGGTTCGATTCCCCATATGGGTGCAATGTGTGAAGTCCATTTCTGGTGTCCCACGCCGTGATATTGGTGGAATATTTGCGGCGTAGAACTAAACTCACTCATTCACTGACGATCACTACAGACAGGACGTATAAATAGTATGAAAAAACACACATTCCTATTTGTTGGTGTCTACAAATATAGAAAATCGTTATTCGACTGTGATGTGTTTCATACGGGTATCATGAATAGATACCTGATTTTAATGCGTTTCGGGGTGTCGTAATAGTGTCTAAGATCAAGGTTTAAGTTTGCAGTATTTCGGAGACTGTTTTCAACCTAGTACTGTTTTGATAACGTTCAGTATTTTCTGGTCAAATCCATTTTCAACTACACGTATTTACAGTGCATCCTGGTTATAATGCAACCCTGGATATAATGCCATGTTTTTGCCAGAACGGATTTCCTGCCTTTATAATAGCTGGGTTATCATGACAAACATGTACCATGTACCAAACATGCCAAACCACTGCAAGCATTATCTTGATATAAATCAATTCTTTTTATGTTTCTTATAAATATCAATTAAACGTTTAAACCTGAATAACAGAGAAAAGTATATTAAAAGACACAACACGATATAATTTCAATTAACATATTTCGATCAATATCACCTTTAAAAACAACTTTCAATTTCAGTATATAGTTATTGCCATACAATTGACAGCCTAACTACCTTGAACGTAATGGAGAAATGAAATAACATTGTAAAACCAGACATGGCCTAGGGGAGTAGGTCTACAAAGACATCATTAAAAGCATTGACATTTCAACATCACTACTCATCAACACAATATGCGGAAAAATAATGGACGCTGCGACAATATCCAAGCCGGAAAAACTTGAGAATATTCAGTACATAAAAATGAATATTACTTTGAGAAACCACTGAACGTGCTATTTAATCATAAAACGTACACGAAAAGCTCATGGCCACAGGGAGTTGGCCTAACCATAAAGTACGCAGCCATACCATCTACATTATGGACCGTTTGTACCTGTGTCCGGGTCGGTCAGTACAATACAGTACAAATTTCTGATGATAAGGATACAAGCAATATTCACATTGTGTGAAGTGAATAGTACTACAAACACAGGTATACTGCTCAAACGATGTTTTGAAACATCCCATTCTTTCATTGCTATTGTTATTATAACAGAAATGATATCAGTAAAATATTGAAGGCGCCTTTCTTGAATCGGAATGAAATATAAATATATTTATCCTTGGCCACATCAATTCTGAATAGGGGCGGTGGGGTAGCCCAGTGGTTAAAGCGTTCGCTCGTCACGCCGAGGGCCCGGGTTCGATTCCCCACATGGGCACATTGTGTGAAGCCTATTTCTGGTGACCCCCGCCGTGATATTGCTGGAATATTGCTACAAGCGGCGTAAAACCCAACTCACTCACTCACTCAATTCTGAATATTTTACTCGTCACCAAATGAAATTTTAACTTGGTTCTTTCAGATCGTATCCCTGTTCTTTCACTTAATCTTTCGTTCCTTGAAATATGAACTACGTATGAAGGAATCCGAATCTTTTTTGAGTGTAGTATTTGTTTGTTTGTTGTTTTGACGCCGCACTATGCAATTGTTTCAGTTGTATGATGGCGGTCTGTAAACAGTCGGGTTTGGACCAGACAATTCTGTGATTGACATTATAAACATCGATCTACGCAACTGGGATACGATGACATGTGTCAACCAAGTCAGCGACTCTGACCATCCGATCCCATATCCTCTTTCGACAAGCATGGGAGACCAAATCTACCCGGATCCTCGCGCGTCTTTTGTGTGGTATAACACGACATGAAGCTATTTCCCATCTCTACCCGGATCCTCGCGCGTCTTTTGTGTGGTATAACACGACATGAAGCTATTTCCCATCTCTACCCGGATCCTCGCGCGTCTTTTGTGTGGTATAACACGACATGAAGCTATTTCCCATCTCTTCCCGGATCCTCGCGCGTCTTTTGTGTGGTATAACACGACATGAAGCTATTTCCCATCTCTTCCCAGATCCTCGCGCGTCTTTTGTGTGGTATAACACGACATGAAGCTATTTCCCATCTCTACCCGGATCCTCGAGCGTCTTTTGTGTGGTATAACACGACATGAAGCTATTTCCCATCTCTACCCGGATCCTCGCGCGTCTTTTGTGTGGTATAACACGACATGAAGCTATTTCCCATCTCTACCCGGATCCTCGCGCGTCTTTTGTGTGGTATAACACGACATGAAGCTATTTCCCATCTCTTCCCGGATCCTCGCGCGTCTTTTGTGTGGTATAACACGACATGAAGCTATTTCCCATCTCTGTGTTTACCATGTTAGGGTGTGTTTAAAATGCGGTTACGTTATGCAATTTGCAGACAGTATATTTTCAGTAATGACATCACAGTTTAAAGAAGTAAAACTTGAAAAATTAAACTGCCACGTGGAATACGGAATCCAGGACAGTAACAGTTGAAAACTAATGATTTTCCATTTCTTTCAAGTATGGGTTCTCGGCGTCAACAGTCAACTACAGCAGAGAATTCGTTATGTCCGTCGGTTCGTTATAACCGTGTTCCTTATAAAAATAGTTTACAATGTATATTTTTCATGCCATGCTCATTAGTTTCCACAGGTATTTAGTAACGTGAACCACAAGTATTCGTATCAGCGTCACCCTGTGACCTAGATGCAAATGAATTCAGTAAGTTCAGAGAAAATGTGCTCAGAGAACGTTTGTTATGTACATAAGTTCAATTTAACGCGATTAAATCTACAGATAACCCACAGATATAAAATCGTAGCATGTCTTTGTCGGTTCGACGATGGCATGCGAATATTAAAATGCGAACTCTATTGTGTTATCCTATATTATGAGTAGGTGAGGTGAAATTGGGTTTTACGTCGTACTTGAGAATATTTCGCTCATATGACGACGTGCATGCGTGTGTATGTGTATGTGCGGCTGCTTGTACTAGCCCAGACTTAAGCTGGTTTTATAGTGCTAGCCCATTGAGATACCATGCCGCAGTGAAGCATGAATACCCCACTCAGACACATTATACTGACTCCAAGCCGACCAGTCCTTGTTGTACCCATTAATGCGGAGCGCAAGGCAGGGACCAACAAGTACCACATTTTAACGTCTTTTGGTATGACGCGGTCGGGGATCGAACCCACGACCTTCCGCTCTCCGGACGGACGCTCTAACCACTACATCACGGAGGAGGTTATTATGAGTAGGTTGACGATCTGAATTAAGGAAACAGTGATGATAGACATTAAACTTATATTGCTGTATATGATATTTGTATTCTGTATTATTCCTTATCCCACATAGCTGTTCTCTTTCAGTCAATTTAATCAGGGGATTTCAGAAATGATACGATACAAGTGGAATATATATAATGTAGGTTCAACAATTTAACTTGCCAAACAGAGGCGGACGCCAGAGGCATATAGCCTAGTGGTGAAAGCGTTCGCTCGTCACGCGAAAGGCCCTGGTTTGATACCCATCGTGGGTACAATGTGTGAAGACCATTTGTTATGTTCCCCGCTGTGATATTGGTGGGATATTAAATCATAAAATCATACAATTCATTCACTCACATATTAAAGGTATTGGAAGTGTGAGTCGGCATGAAATGGTTACACCTATAAAAGATTAGTGAGTGAGTGAGTGAGTGATCGAGTTGGGTGTTACGCCGCTTTTAGCGATATTCCAGCTACATCACGGCGGGGACACCAGAAATGGGCTTCACACAATGTACCCATGTGGGGAATCGAACCAGGGTCTTCGTCGTGACGAGCGAACGCTTTAACCACAAGGCTACTCCACCGCCCCAATAAAAGATTAATCAAGTCTTGCATAGTGTAGCTCCATGTGCTGGTCGGTATTTTTTCACGCTTCATTTACGTTAATGGAATCTTCCAGGTATTTATTTTATGTTCATTATGTTCAATGTTTCAGTCAATTCAGGAAATAATTTTGATATCATTATATTGGTTTGTTCCACTAATAAAAATGCATGCTTAGATATTTTGACTCTGCTGTAAAAGGCACAGGAAGCGGAAACTAAAACAAGCGAGGACGCATGCGCGGTAGTCCATTGACCGACGTATCGATTTGTGAGTTTCGCACTGGGATGCACCTTTGAGATAAGATTTAGTACTCTAGAATGCAATAATCTGATAACCACTAAAGGGACAGCAAAACGGATACGACACGAACATAACACGCCTTTGGCAATAGGGATCTACACTTCATACAGTGGCAAAACAGTGTTCTTGGAACAGGTGCCCGCTCGTGAGGCGGGTTTGACAGCAGCTGACAGTGAAGAATTTCTGAAACGTGGGCAATTCAGCAGTGTAGCCTTTTCAAGTGACGCGCGCCCTTGGACATATTATCCTCCGAAATGGTTAGGCAGCCAACAAGGAATGATTCATACAAATCTTCAGAAATTGGATCATCTTAGAACCATGGGCAACGGCTGAGTCTGTGACGGGGGCTTCTGTGTATTGACAGTTGCAACGGCTGTAGCGGTTGTAACAGGTGGCTGGTAGTGTACAGCCCACTGTTTACAGTGGGTGACCCCCTGGGGTCAGGCCTTCCGCTGTAGTACTGCTGTCACCTTGCAGATTGAGTTTATTTGTTACATTATGGTTTTGGTGTCAAAATGATTTCCTTCATGTCGAAGAAAAAGAAGTATAAATTCCAAGTTACCCTAGTTGTAGAGGAGCTGTCATCAATGACATTCCCAAATGGAATATTTTTTGCCAAAGTCCGACTGCATGAAGGAGGGAATTTCTTGGATCACTCTTCTCGGTAAGACTTAAGTTTCGTTTGATACTTTTTGTGAGTCTGTTAACACGGTTGCTACTGAGACTGGTAAGGGTAAATGTAATACCCAACTTCTAAATATTATTTGATTTGTCTTTATTTTAATTAAACTTTTCATGAATATGTGAAGGTGTATATTATATCTTTGCTTTTTGTCTGGTGCCATTTTTCTTTAAAACAGGCAACACCACTGGCAATTAGTGGTGTTCCGATTGATTGAAATAATCGAAGATTGGTCGCAGTGACCAAACGACCAAGCAATCGATCACATTTTCTCATAATCGAACATAAACGATTTTGGAACTACTGTTTTAGTCTTTGAAATACTTGACAATGGAACATATCGTTGAAGTTGTCAGGGTCTGAAAACATGTTTAATTCTACGAAAACTCACTTCACTAACTGAAAAGCCATGACTGAATATTTCTTGAAGACTCCGTTAAGTTTATGTTCATGATATGTTAGCCATCACTTTAAAGTAGCAAGCTGCATCATGTTATACATATCTGCAATAACAACCTGGATAGGAAAATCTGAAAAATGACACTAACCAATATTTTTTCGATTATTGTTCGTTGGTAATGAAGCAATCATCAACTGTGAGATTTCAACCAATTCCCAACACTACTGGCAATCAGAGTTTCTGTAATGAAAATGATCTTTTTGTCATGTTTATAATTACATTATGTCATATAGTACATACATATTACAGTTTACATAGTAATGATAACAACACACACTGTGACATGTAAACATGCTGTATTTAGTGCTGATTATCACCATAGATTGATTGCGTTGATGTTGATAATAAATAAGTCCTAAACGATGATAATAGTGGTTTTGATATTTTTGTAATTTCATTTTAGTATACATGCTTCTGCATTTTGATGCTTAAATTTACAATAAGTACTAGTTCATATAAATTAACATGTATTCCAGCCAAGGCCTGCATCGAGACGGTGAGCATACCTTGGTATAGTGCAAAGTCGTCAAGTTATATGCTGGACTATATGTGTACATGCCTTGCAATCTGTGATAAATATCCGTTCAGGATGTTTGTTTAAGGTACACATGGTAGATCTGTCTGTATGCTGTTAGGTTTCAGGATATTGTATCATGTCATGTTGATAGTGAATTTCCCATGTTAACAGAAAAACAATTTTTTAACTTGCACATGATTATATTAAATTTTTTTCAGTGCTATTATCATGATAATTTTTGTCTAGGATATTATTGATGACATTTTCTTCTGACAATTGGCTTGATTGATCCATTGTCAAACGTTTAAAGGAGAGTAATGTGATAGTTCTCTTCTACTCGCTCACTCATGAAGTATCTATGTCAGGGGCTCAGTGGCTACCTTGCCACTTATCACACAGAAGGCCTGAGTTCCATTGTTCCAGTGGCTGAACATTCTTTGAGCTCATTGCAGGATACTTGTAACAGTAGTATTGCTTTCACTCACTCACTCATGCTGAAAGAATGATGTTGTGGCTTAAGTGTTTTCTTTCATCCTGGAGAGGCAAACAGGTAGCTCAGTGGTCAAGCATTTTCCTCTTCTCGCTGAAAAGGGATCAATCACTCGATCACAAACAGTCGAGTTTGTTTACTAAAAGAATGTATATTGCTGCCAATCAAGTTAATGGCCAAGATAATTACACAAGGTGTAATTGATAGAACTTGTTTATTGTACGTAGGTGACAGCTGTTGAACACACACTGCAATTACCACCTTAACTTATTGGTTGTTACACACAGGCTACGCAGGCTAATGACACTGTATTGTTACGCGTGAACAAACTCATTTGGATGGAGTCATGAGATGCCATAGAGTGTGGTTACCTTGTCTTGTACTGAGTTTAAACATGAAACTGCAACACTAAGTCACATTTATGGGGTGTTCAGAACCAGAGAATAAACTTGATGTTAGACAATGAAGATTTAGGATTGCTATGAGAAGAAGTCCTTATGGATGAAGTGTTCAGGGGTGGAAATAACCCACTGCCCGACGTCCCAGTCCAGTGTTTTTTTCTGTCGGGCAAGCAAATTTGTATATTACACTGTACCGGTGTCCAGTTGACTTTCCAATGTAAATTATGTTGTTTATTTAAAAAATCAACAAGAAAACGGCCGGTATAGTGGAAAAATTATCAGGGCAAGTGATTTTACATGTGCCACTGTACACTAGCACTTTAGGAGTACACTAGCAATTTTAAAGTTATTTCCACCCCTGGTGTTCTGTAACAGAAAATATCAATGGTTACAGAATTTTTCTTGTTTCTGTGCTGGTAACTGTCACTCATAAAAGTTTACAAAAATGTATTGTCATAATATAATTATGTTGTAGACGACCTGGGTGCTAAGGAAAGTTATTGGATGTTAAAAAATTGACAAGGGAATAGGGGAGCTTATCATAACTGTGCTCAAGAAGATACATTTGTTTTTAGAGATGAGTGGAAGTTAATACACTTTGTTCAAAAGTCAGTGAAACTGACGCTTTTTTGAAACACTGTAAACAAGAAAATATGGACTGTCTTGCCATATTATAACTAACTTACAGATTGGTCTACTGGAGCGGTGCGCTATATATGGCAAATATTGTAAGCTGACTAGTCGTACAAAATTACCCCTTGGCAGAACCCAATTATTGTTGAGACATTCTGTGGGTGTGAGTGGGAGGGTGGCAAATATTCTCCTTGAGATTTTGAGCAGGGATGGGAATAACTTTAAAATTGCTAGTGTACTCCGGTACAGTGGCACATGTAGAATCACTTGCCCTGATAATCTTTCCACTATACCGACTGTTTTCTTGTTGATTTTTTAAAATAAACAACATAATTAATATTGGAAGGTCAACTGGACACCGGTACAGTGTGATATACAAATTTGCTTGCCCGACAGAAAAAAACACTGGACTCGGGTGTCGGGCAATGGGTTATTTCCACCCCTGTTGAGGGAGGAACAGGATTGGCTGTCAACAGATCATAGAGATCCATAACCTTCAACTAGATATTGATGGATTGTTAATAAAATTTCGATAAGTAACTGAGCAAAAATGCCAAAAGGCTCAGAAAGAAATCAACACATTTCACATCTCTGGTGCGTGGTGACACATTTATCCTTGGATTACTCACAAAACAGTGTTTGAACATGATTTTGAAGCAGCCCATGAATAAATACAAAACCCTGTGTAGAGTGTGAATAGCATAAAACTATTTGTTCAAGGTAGTATATGTAGCAGCTGGTGCTCAGTATCATCTAAGACTCAATTCTCATATATATAATCGTTAATACAGTGATTCTTCCTATAGGCAATATTTCAGATTATCGATCACTTTCGCCAACACAAATTTCGATTCTACTTTAGGGCTAGGAAAGAGTCAATGATGGTGACAGTTGTCATGCTTGATAAATGAAATTACAGGCACTAATAACTGCTCTTGATGCAGTGTAGGCACTAGGGCTGTTGCGATTCATTTGTGTATTCAGTTAAGCAAACTGTATCCCTAATGAATTCAGTTCATTATTCACGATCACAAGAATCGAATATTCATGACTGTTTTAAAAAGGAATGTTTTTACTTGATTTTGGGTGTTATTTATCAAAGTAGCATATACAAAATGGAATACAGCCAAGCCAGGCAGTAAAACCGTCAACACTTATATATTCGATTTGACAGTAATGTGGTCACTGGTCATTGTTGTGATGGTGAATATCTGTCAAGGAGTATATTTTATTATTGATTCTCTGAATATAATAGCTGTTTTGTATTCATTACCCAATATTCGTGATATGTATCATATTTGCCTCGTAGTAGATTTTTTTAAAATTTTTGGCGTTTATTTTTTTTTTTTCAAGAAACCAAAGTCTTCCATCATAAACGACGGTCATTACATGATGACATATACAAATACATGAACATAATCAGATATCCAACATACCAGGATATAACATAGTTAGACCAGTGAAATATCAGCCTGTATAGGGTGTTGTATGTGGTGCATCAGTGTTTCCGTTCTCCGGTATATACCTGAAAATCGCCAGTAAAATTCGTTGGGGACCGGTAAAATTCGTTGGGAGATATAGGGGACCGGTAAATTGAAGCCAGCCAACCAGTCACTGTGTCCGTTAAATAATCATGCATTAAAATAAAATAAAAATTCGTTTGGGACCGGTAAATTGAAAGCCAACCAGTCACTGTGTCCGTTAAATAATCATGCATTAAAATAAAAAAAATTCATGGGTAAGCGAAATCACAGTCTTGGCTGTGCTTTCATGGTCGCAAATATTGTTATGTTTCGGTAATACCCAGGCTAAAAATAACATGGAAATGAGTACTTACAGTATGGTAATAGGATATGACAGGCAAATTTCATTCATGACCGGTAAAATTTTAAGTTGCCAGACACAGTGTCCGATAAATAATTTAGTCAGCGGAAACACTGTGCATACCCAACATATCATGTTTTATATAGTGCAACATGCAGCATACAGTGTTGCATATAGCATCACACCAGACATAGCATATTGTATATAGGGTCACATCCAACATATGCTGTATATAGCGCAACATCCAACATAAGTTGTATAAAGTGTCATATCCGAAATATCGTATTGTATATAACATACCAAACGACCTATCATGTTGTATATAGCACCATATCCGACATATCATATTGTATATTGGGCCACATCTGATCTTTCCATATCATAAAGTATATAGCTGACTGACTGACTGAGTTTGGTTTTACGCCGCTTTTAGCAATATTCCAGCAACATCACAGCGGGGGACACCACAAATGGGCTTCACACATTGTACCCATGTGGGGATTCGAACCCGGGTCTTCGGCGTGACGAGCCAACGCTTTAACTACTAGGCTACCCCACCACCCCCATAAAGTATATAGGCTTTATAGCATTAAATAGTAGATTGGTTGTAGTACTAGGTACAATTAATATTACAGTGATCCTTTGGCATTTATGTTT